CACCAATAAAAATTAATTTATTAAAAAAAATGCCCCCCTCACTAGTTGCTGGAGGGAGGTGGGTAGGGGGAAGTGGTAACTGGGTGATGAGCATTAAGGAGGGCACTTGATGTAATGAGCACTGTTATATGCAACTGATGAATCACTAAATTCTACCTCTGAAACTAATAAAAAAAAAATGTCCCTCACTATCATGGAGAGTTCCCCTTTAAAAATGTCCCTCACAGGGCACCTGGATGGCTCAGTTGGTTAAGCATCTGCCTTTTGGCTCATAGTCCTTGGATTGAGTCTTGCAGGGAGTCTGCTTCTCCCTCTACCCTTCCCCTCTGCTTGTGATCTCTCTCTCTCTCTCTCTCTCTCTCTCTCTCTCTCTCTCAAGTAAATAAATAATTTCAAAAATTAAATAAAATAATAAAAAAGTCTCTCACTACATCCAGATTTCTCCAAATCAAGCATTCCCCATTACCTCAGACTAGCACTCATTTCTCTACTAAGATTTTTAATCCAGCATAAAGTCCACACAGACAATTGCCAAATCATTCCTCATATATCATCATTTTAACATAGAAAAACATATGTGTTTTCCCTCACAGTTTAAATCCTTTAATAAAGTTTAAACCCCTGAATCTGTCCCTGCTGCATATTTATTGTAGTTGTTTTATGGGCCAGTCCATTCAGACACAGACTCTCTACATCAGCTATCTGGATGACTATCTGCCTTACACACCCCCATTGCCTGCACTGATTGTCTCGCTCACCTGTGCCTTTTGAATTGGGCATTGGCTGGTAGAAGAGTAAGGACAGACCAGCTCCATTTGGAAGTGATCTTCCTCTCCTCTCCCTCATGGAGCCCTCATTGTAGGAATCTCATGATGGCTCTCATCTAATTCTATGCCAACATATAGCTCCTTCCATTATTTCCAACACATACCTCCTGACCACATACTTCCTAGTTACTTCTGTGTTAATCTTAGGGGACTTTTTTTCAGATCATATGTCCCTGGAGAGAAGATACCATGTTTCACAATTCCTTGTTCTCCCAGACCTACCAGTGACTTGGGCATGAAACATGCCATTGAATAGTTGAGAAATGGACATAAAGAATAAGCTTTCCTCCAAGGAAGCTTCTGTCAGCTGACCTTTAAATTAATTAATTGACCTTAGTTGTTGGGGCTCCACAGAGGTCATCCAGGGAAATCACAAAACTCAGTGTGAGCCATGAGTTATTTCATCCTCTGCTGGCCCTCTTACCTCTGATTTCCTCTGTGGAGCTGTGATGACTGAACATGGTGGCACTATGGGGCACCTTCCCACTCTCTTATGGGGAATTTCTTCCTTGATCTCTGAAAGTGGAGGAACATATTCTCTACCAACCCCTATTGCATGCTTTCATTTAATCTGCTTTCCCTCTTGAACCAAGAACCCACTTAATTTAACCATCAGTAAGATATTTTATTCTTCTATCTTATGTTGCTTTCATAGCACTGATTACAGTTTGGATTTTGTAATAGTCCTGTTTTCAAATTTTCATAAGGACTGAAAGTCTACAAAATTTAGATGTGCATTTCAGTAGGTAAGGTTAGATTATTGAGCACTCTGAAATAGATATCATTCTGTTTTGGAAAGAGGTTTAATGATATTTCATCATCATTAAGAATATAGAAGGTTGCATAATTCTTGTGAGTTTACAGATTATCTGTTTGAGTTTAGTTTGAATGCACTATTTTGGAAGTGAAACAAAATTTTGTTGACTATAAACACTATACAGTCCCTATCTCAACTGTTCATTAAAGTTCCAAATAGGGGCACCTGAATGGCTCAGTGGTTGAGCATCTCACCTGCCTTTGGTTCAGGTCATGATCCCAGAGTCGGGGATCGAGTTCCCATGGGGAGCCTACTTCTCCCTCTGCCTATATCTCTGCCTCTTTCTCTCTGTCTTTCATGAATAAATAAATTAAATCTTAAAAAAAAAGTTCCAAATAGTGTGGTGTTTAAAAGTGTAAGCTTTAACACTTCTAATAACCACTAATACTTAAAATGTATATTTTATTTTCTTTCTTTCAAGTTAGCCATGATCTATACAAAGGCTTATATTTAGTACTTCCAAGAAAATTAAATTTTTGACTTGGTGTCATTACAAATCCTTCTCATAGCATCTGACTAATGAAAGTATCTTTGCCATGCCTGTTAGTTTTTAAATTAAGTTAGATTGGTTCATACTTTCTAATTATCATTAGATATTTGATAATGAAAGTTATAATTTGTGACAGTTGTTATGACAATTATTGTTCCTGAAGACAGAATTTTAAAAAGATAACTTCTACTAAAAATGAAATAAATCAAAGTTTTAAATACTTAACTGTAATGAAATTCCCTCACCCATTATGGACACAGTGGAGTTTGTTTTTTTGTTTTGTTTTAATCTGATGAAGTAATGGAAATTTAGAGCTGGAAGGAAAAATAAAGCAGAGAAGTAGGGACAGAGTGTGTTGGATCAGGAGCAATTTTAATCAGGTGGTTCTTCATTTAAAGAAGAAAAATACTGAATGTCAGAATATAAAAATGACATGTCCAAAGTCACCAAAAGATAGTGCCAGATGAATCCTATAACAAAGATTCTATTCTTCCTGATACAGGAAAATATATTTTTTAAAGATTTTATTTATTTATTCATGAGAGACACAGAGAGAGAGGCAGAGACAATAGGTAGACGGAGAAGCAGGCTCCTCACAGGGAGCCCATTATGGGACTCGGTCCAGGATCAACCTGAGCCAAAGGCAGGAGCTCAACCACTGAGGAACCCAGGCATCCCAGGAAAATAGATTAAGTGATAATAGGTGAATCTAATGTAAAGACTGACAACTCAGTTACTTGGCATAACTTTTCTTGGTGATTCAATGTCATATTTACATGTGAATTTGGTCAGAGCTGGACATAGATGACTGTTTTCTCAGTTGTAATATCTCCGTTTTTGCACTTTGCCAACAGCAGATCAGATTAGAAAGGGAGGGGGAACTGGGCTTTAATACAATCCAGAAGGAATGGAAACCAAGCTAGGTCACTAAACTATGAGCTCATTTAATCAAGTGGTAGTGCTCAGTACTAGCCACCACTCTAAGCAAGAGCCAGACATGATCTTTGCCTGCATTATGACACACAATTTTAGGGAACAAAAGAGGTATGCTGGAGATTGTTATTTTCAAGGCTCTGAAATCCTTTTCTCTCATTTCCATATCTAGGACAATGTTTGAGTTGGTTGCATTTACTGGATGTGCAACCACAAAATATAGTAAAATGATATATAAAAACTTGCTGTTAATGTTCCTAGCACATTTCAAATGACAATTACACTGAAACCTTGATAGACTTTGATCCCTAGACCTCATGCTGGGTGACACCTTATCTTTTAATGATGATTTGGCCTGGTATCTGTAATTGGATTTTGAGTAAAACTTGGAGGACAGACTTGATTTATAATAAACTTCACATTTTATCATATAATGCTACAGCAAAATCTAATGATTTGATATTTAATGCTCAACAGATAGTTTCTAGCAAAGTCTAGATTTTGTATAACTATTTGCCTTGACTCTTCTATTCTCATGAATATACACATACAGTTTTATTTGATATAATTCAACTCAAATATTTTCTGGAAAAAATAAACATGTTAGAAATAACATTATCATCAAAAAAAAAAAAAAAAGGAAGCATTGGCAAGGAAAGAGTTAACATCTTACCAGCAAGCATCTTGTCTCTCATGCGATACAATCATCACTGGCCCAGACCATGTACTACAATTTATGGTAACTGGTTTGATCGCCCCCCCTCCCCCAGGGGAGTTAACAGTCTCTTCTCTTTCAGGATATAAACTCTTTAAAGTCAAGGATTTTCCCCAAAGCTCCTTAAGAGTTGTGAGCCTTCAACGTGTATTATTTATAACCATCATTGACTAAGGACTTTTTAAAAAATATATATTCAGAAATTCTTTCACAACTCTGTTATAATCTCTTATTTAATCACTGTCATTCATTTATTGAATAAGCATTTTTGAGTGTCTGCTATGTGATCCAGGAATCACTCTAAGTACTAACGAGGCAATAGTGTATAAAACAGAAAAAGAAAAAGCTCTGCCCTTATGGAAGTTACATTCTATCAGGAAGATACATAAATAAACATAATTTTTAAAAAGTAAAATATATGGTACATTAAATGAACAAAAATTAAAAAAAAATAAAGCAGCGAAGTTAAATAGGAAGGGCTTTTTTTGGTTTTAGCAGGAAAATGAGGGTTGTGATTTTAAACCAGTTGGCCAAAGAAACTGACATGAGGAAATGACATTTAGGTACACACCTAAAGGAGGTGAGAAAGAAAACCATATAAAAACCTGAGGGGAAGAGTTTTCCAGCAGCAGACATAGCAAGTACAAAGGTCCTGAGGTAGGAACAACACAAGGGTGTTCTAGGGAGTAGAGAGGAGACTAGTATATGAACAAAGGAGTGATAAAGTTAAAAGGTAGTAAGAGTCTGATCCCATAGGGCTTTGTAGACTTGGCCCTATAAGAATAGAAGTCATTAGTAAATGTTGAAATGACCTGACTTACAAGACTTGTTAAAATCACTTATGTAACATAGTACCTGAAATTTAAGTTAATAAAATGAATGGATTATCTGTAGGTAGCAGGAAGCCTGTTGATGAGCAAAGACAGAACTGGGAACTAGAGAATCAGGAACACAGGGATGCAGGTAGGAAAGAAGTTATATTAGTAACATGAACTACTAAACTTTATATAAACTAAATTTATATAGTTTAACTTTTTAAAACCATTTTACGTCTGATGTCATCTGATGAAAGGTCTTTAGTTGTTGAACTGGGGCAGACACTAACTAGGGAATCACCATTTGACCTTAAGCACTAAGGTCAAAGTTCTCTTTCCGCCCCTCTCTCTCTCTGTCTCTGTCTTTCTCTGTCATTACTGGGGCCAGCAAGATGTGACCCTTAGTGGCCATCCTCCGAGCCATGCCTCTGTCTTCAGGCACCTGCACCCCAGAAGGTGCCTGGGTGGGCTATGGAGAAGGGCAGAGTGGGAGACAAACGGGCAGACACCAGAAGAGGTGCAGATGGGCAGGTGAGGGCAGGCAAAGCAGGGGCTCTGGGACGGGGGCGGATGGAGCCAGACATGGGGAAGAAATGGGAGCAAGACTCTCCGGGGGTCTGGGATCCCAGAGAAGGTAGAGAAACTGCGAGGAGGCCAGCCCCAGCCCCACCCCTCCCTGGCAGAGCTTGCTGCAGGGAAGCAGCCCCAGGACGCGCGCTGAGGCCAGGGGTTAGGCCAGGGTTAGGCCAGGGGTGGGGTGGGCAGGCAGGGGTCGCTTACTCTTTAGATTTATCCGAACTGTGCGCTGAGTTGATACGATGCACCTCTTTCTTTTTGGTTTGTTTGGAGGTCATGGTAGAGGCGGCCCCAGGGCTCGGGACCCACGCCGGGGCTGAGCTCCGAGCTAGGAGGGGCTGCGGGCCCCGCTCCGCGTCGGCTGTTGCTAGGAGACCGCGGCCGGGCGCGGCGGGGCTGGGGGCGGGTCCCCCGCGGCTCCCGCGCAGAGGCCCCGCGGCGGCGAGCTCAGGCCTGCACTTGCAGGCGGCCTGGGGGCTGAGTGTCTGGGGAGGAATCGGGGGCCGGGCAGGAGCTTGGCCCTAGGATTGATGGGCGGCTCTGGTAACCTGCAGCTCTGTCAGGTCCGCTCTACCTGCTTTGCTCTTCGGAACCGCTGGCATACCAGTATTCTCTCCTGGATTTTCAATTGTTTGAACAGGGTCCAAGTGTTTGAAGCTGTTTGTTAGGCCATGTCGCCTCTCCCCAGGTCTGCCGAACAAGTTCTTTTCAGTCGTAACTGAGGAGACATTTTGGACGCTCTGAATGGCTTGAAAAGGGCAGGTCCTTAAATGAAAAGAGTGGGTGCAGGGGGATCCCTGCAGGGAAGGCAAGTTCAGGACACGCTTAGTTGCTCAAGTTTTTGCTAATGATGAATGAAGTCTGTGATGAAGAAGTCCAGTGTCTCCATCGTTCATATAAAAGAATAAATCCAAGTCATAGAGTCTAGAGGCCCTTGATACACTCACTTGGGAAGGCCCTAGAGTCAGAAGAAACAGATCCAAGGAAACCACAGCCTATTAAGACCAAGCCTAATGCTCAGCGGGTCCACAGTGGCATTTATTAGTTATCGTGCCTTGGGCAAGTTTTTCCTTTTGACCCTCATTTTACTCATTTGTAAACTGGAGATGCTAATATCTAATTCACAATTCTCTCCCGAAAATAAATATTTATGTGAAATGTTTGGCACACGATGAAAGTACAGCAAATGGGGGGGGGGGGCTCTGTTTCAGATATGACAGCTCAAATGCCAGCAAAAAGCAGGCAGATTAGCATGAATGAGTGAAGCCAAGCAATACTTAGACTGGAAATACTTTAAAACTTCTTATAACAAAGCAAAATATACTGTAGATCCAAAACAACCTCACTACAGAGAGATCTGACCAAGCACAGACCCAAGGTTTAGAACCTCTGTCACTCCTTGGCTGTTACCATGAGCCTAGAAATAATTAACTATCTTTAAATAATCCTTTCTGCTCTTGGGACTGGGCATTGCTCAGAGGCCAAACTCTGCAGGGGAAAACCAGTTTCCTATAAAGTAAATCTTTTAACTCTTCTGACAAATGAATGTCCAGCCCTCTGCACTCAGCATAGCCTTTGCTTGGCCAAGTGTCCCAATCTTACTGTTATTGGAGGTTACACAGCTGACAATCAGACAGCGACTCCATTGTATTTCTATATGCAAGATAAATAACTTCAGAGTCAGTAGTGTTACTGTTATGGTTGAAGAAGTGCCCTATAAACCTCTCCTATATACATAAAGACATATTGAGGGCTCTGTCTCATTTATTCCAGGACTGAAATTTCCAGAGAACTCTCCTGAATGAAAGTATAGGACCAAACTTTGAGAAGATATTATTTAAAACCAAATCTTATCAAAGCAATCAAATGCATGTAGCATCAAATCCAGGAGCATGTAGAAAGACTATTGGGTAAAAATAGCACAATTTTAAGCAACCAACACACAAATGGGTGAGTTTTGCCTTGAGCTAAGGCCATCTCTGAAGATTCCAAGATGCCAAGACTCTTAGAAAAGTCTTAGAAATCAAATAATCTTTAGCTCACCCATATTTAATCGATGAAAACTCCCAGACCAAGAGACGTGCCTTGCCAAAAGTTTCATGGCTAATTGAATTAGGGGCAGTCTGGATTAGAGGCTTTAAATGGAGGAGCACTAGTTTAAGCCAAACATATCGCTACTCCCACTCAGAGACTCCTTTCTCATCTATTAAATTAGGACAAAAATAAGGGAGTTAACCTAAGGATGAAATGAGGTAATAAATTTTTTTTGAAAATATAAAGTGCTTACTGATTCTTAGACCAGTGTTCTCTCTTCTTTATTATGCTATGTATGCAGCATGCATAAACAGAATTTCTCTTCTTTCTGGAACTAAACTCTGGTCAGGCCATGAATCTAAGAGGCCAATATGCTTCCCCTATAAACCAAGATGGTATTTGTATGTGCCAGTGCAAAAGAGTACAATTGACCCATCAATCTTTTTTCTTAAAAAATCCGTATTATGTACACATGGTAATCATGATCAATGCCATTTTGAAATGTCAGTAATAGCTGTGATTTATTGCATCCCTGCTATATGCCAGGCTTCAGGAGGTATGCTAGCTCCTTAGGGCATGGGTTTTAGAGAGAAATATGAATTTTAATGCCAACCCTTATTAGCTGAGTTAACCTGGGTAAGTTATTTATACCCTCTGAATTCCATTTGCTTTATTTATGAAAAAGGAAGGATAATTCTTAGCTCAAATGTTGTTTCTGGAAGATAATAAGCATTCAAATAGTGAAAACTACTATCGTATTTCACACAGGTAAAGAAACTGAAGTGCAGAGAGGTAGAGAGATTTGGCTGATATGGGGTAGGTGGCAGAGCAAGATGAGCCAACCTCCACAGCCTTTGCTCTCCGCAATACCCCAGGCTAACTAAACTTGTTGAGATCTTTCAGAGTCACCAACCCAGATGATTGCCCTATAGCTCAGCTTATGGATTTCCAAGTTCTCTGGTAACTTTCAAAGGCTGAGAAACAGGGCTCATCTTTTACTAGAGCTACCCACAGTGCAGCTTCTCCCTTATACTAACCTTATTGAGGAAGAGTTCTTTGGCTTCAGGCAGCATAACCCTACCCTGCTCCATAGGGAAGTAGTTAGAAATATTCACTTCCCCCATGCCCACAGAAACAGAACAGGGAGGGCTCTCTCTTGGGATTACTTGGGGAGCTGCTGAAATGGGGAAGTAGACTTGGTAAGCACTTCTCCACCCACCATTGGGAGTCCCGGATGACTAGAACTGGGTGGGGAAGTCAGAGAGAGGAGCAGCATTTCTGTTTCTTAAAGCCTGAGTTCTGGGCAGCTTAGACACTTGGCCCCACGGCCAGAAGCAATTATACCCATGGTGCTGCTCCGCCACCTCTTTGCAGTTAGGTCAGTTATAAGTCACCTAGAATTTAAGCCATCGAGAGAAGGTGTCAATTCTACATGTTCTGCTTGTGGTTCAGGTTAATTGTCCTTTCAGATTCTGTCCTTCAATTGTCATTCTTCTGTGACATTGACATCATTTTCCTTTATTTGCCACAGAGCTTTACGTCTCTTAAAATTCTTAAATATTCTGCTTTATTTTTATCCCTCCTTATGCCCTAGCCCCGCACATGTACTAGCCTCCCAGGGCAAGAGAGCAGCACCTGCTCGAGTTCTACTCTTCCTTACCAAATTCCATTCAAATTTGCAAGCCCCCTCAACACCTCATAATCAGAGCTCACACTCATTGAGAACTTGCTGTATGCTTGGCCCTCTATGAAGCTCTTTTCCTGCATCAACTCACATAATTCATATAAACACCCTAGGAATGTGTTAATATTACAATCTCTTTGTTTGTAGACAAGGGAACAGGTGGAAAGGTTAAATTAAATTAGTAAGTGTCGAGCAGGAGTCTAGCCCATGCAGTCTGGCCAGTCTGGTGCCAGACCAATGCACTTTACAATCACATAGTTCTGCCTCAGACTCAGGGATCAACAGCCTTATGAGGTATGCAATCAGTCCATTTTATGGAGTAGAAAAGTGAGTTTTTGGCCAAAGTCCAAAGCAAAGAGGGAGTGGAACCATAATCTAAATGTGAGCAGTCTGGCTTCAGAGTATACTCACTATTACATCATTTTGTGTTCTATCATAGGGTATTTTTTTATTGTGATGAAAACACTTAATATAAGATACTAACATATTTCTGAATGTACGATACAGTATTGTTAATTGTAGCCACAATGGTATACAATGGTGTACAACAGATCTCTAAAATTTATTCATTTCACGAAACTAAAACTTTACACCTGTGGTCACTCCAGCTCTCTGCTACACTGCGTCCTTCAAACAGAGGGAGTAGAGAGGAATGGTTACTCCATGTCATCAAAAATATTATTTAAAATTGTGACTTAGATTCAGCTCTGTCCCCTAATATTCTGTCTCTCCAGAACCCACTAGTTATGGAGGATTTGAATCTTGCAGCTATAAAGCCAAATGTCCCTGCCTGAGATAGTCTCATTAGTCTAGGTAAACCTTAACTTACAGTTTTCATTATCTTTGAAAGGAAATTCTGAGTAGTGATTCTTAAAAAAAAAATAGGAGAATAAGGAAATAAGGTATTTTCATGATACTGGCTGAAAAGTAATTTCCATTTTGATCAGTTGTTTAAATAAGAAGCGATAGTTTTCCTGAGTGTAATAAAACACTTCGTGGGGGTGCATACTAACCTGAAGTTACATGGTGTTGCTGTCACTTCTGCTGTGGGTGCACTGTTATTAATCCAGAAACCCCTTCTGAACAGAGGCATTTCACTCCCCATGTCACTCAGCCCAAGATCAGCCTTCTCCCTGAGAGCTGCCTGCATCTCCTTTGTGTGTATAAGGGAGGGGACATAATTCCAACAACTCTAAAAGGTTCTTCTCTCTCCAGAGCTCCCTCATTTTTGGCGGAG